TCTCATCATCCACGGATCGCTGCCACGATTGAATTCCGCAGATCACTCATACACAATGTTTCTTGAAGGCGCGTTATCACCAAAGGCGACTAACACTTTGCTGCTGCTTTAAACCACATTTTTAGTCGTAGAAAATCATCTTTCAGTGCCATCGAATTCCCGTCCTCCCACCCCCGTCCCCCGATTCCTGGACGCATGAGCCCAGCAATCAGTAGAACTGGTGACGGGAACAAATGAGTGTTGTTTTGGTATCAATGTCAGCCTGGTACATCTAAGTGTTTTCAATGCATATAATTCACATCTCACTGTCCTCTTCTGATTGAATTCGCCATATTCTTTTTTGGACACAGACCGATAACAAAGAGAACACGGTGTACAAACGACCTCTTAATCATTTATACCACGATTTGTTTGATTCTGCAGAATCGAAATACAAACTGGAAAACACTTCNGGAATCAGACATAACCAGATGAAGTGTTTTCCAGTTTGTATTTCGATTCTGCAGAATCGAAATACAAACTGGAAAACACTTCATCTGGTTATGTCTGATTCCGTGTCCACTGCAGTACACCAATATTTGATGTACTAAAATTGCACATGCATGTAACCTATTTGTCGCCACGCTTTTATTGCTGACTAGATGCCAGTTTGCCTATAGTATTCGTTTGGCACGTAAAGATACATCCTCCACCCGTAACATGTTCTTTTATACAAACGAGGAATCTAAAGACAGCAACCAAAAACGGCTACGCAAAATTGCATGGTTAATGATTGTCTTTATCTTCAAAAAGGGCCCGCGCAGTGATTGCGCCAATTATAGGGGTTTAAACCTTGTCCCGATAACGTCAAAGCTGTATATATATTTATATTTTCACACACGTCTGAATCTAGACTGTTTGCCAAACAAATTATGGTACAATAATCTTTATGAAAAAGAAAAACGTTCCATGATTTCCATGTGAGTTGAATACTGCCAGGTTACCCAGGCCAAGGCAAGTGAATTTTTTTAGGAATACACAACCGGATCTTTTGGCTATCCAAGCCTGACCCGCGGGGCAGCGGGGTGGTGTGTAAAAACCGCAATTTATCGGGGGCCGGTGTCCAGTTCATCGCATCATACATCCTTCGGACGGGTTCAAACGACCAAGGTGCCCAATACACCTCCGCCGATTTTACACTATGCCCGAGGAACAGGCTGGGTTTCGTACCGGTCGTCGATGCATCGATGAAATCTTCACCCATCGACAGCTACTAGAGCACCGTTGTGCCTATCAAAGACCAGCGATCATTGTATTCTTAGACATTCGCACGGCCTTCGACTCTGTCCATAGGACCGTACTATGGAACTGTTTGTTGAGGGATGGAGTACCTGAGAAGTATTTGTCGATCCTCGATGAGTTGTATCATCATACCTCAGGTCGGATTAGGGCTTATGGCCAACTTTCGCCACCCTTCACCCTCTTCAGTGGAGTTCGGTAAGGCCGCCATATATCCCCATTCCTTCTCAACTTTGTCATAAAGGATGTTCTACAGAATGCTTTGTCCGGTCTAGTAAACGGTGGAGTTGAACTCCTCTCAGGAATCAGAGTTCCTGATTTGGAATATGCCGATGACATCGCCTTGCTTGGTGACAATACACAAGCAGTCCAATACGCTTTGAAATGCTCGGTGATAGAGGTATCCAGATATGGTATGTGTTTTGCACCTTCCAAGTGCAAAGTGCTTGTTCAAGACTGGCAGGAGCCTGTCCCTGCACTCACCATCTGTGGTGATCAGCTGGAAGTACGTCGGGAGTTTGATCACCGCTGGTGGAGCTATTGGGGACGAGATCACATCACGAATAGCGAAAGCTAGAGCAGCTTTTGCCAACGTGCGATACTTGTGGCGGCGCTATAACATCAAACTGTCCCTTAAGGAAAGGGTGAACTTCGCAGCGTTCTCCTTAACGGTTGCGAGGATGCTAATCGACTTTCTGTATTTGACTATCGATGTCTCCGAAGCATAGCTCGTGTCTGGTGGGAACACCGGGTGAGTAATGACGAGGTTCGTCGATGTGTGTTGGGTGAGGATTGTCGTTCTCTAACACACGCCTCTGATGGCTTGGTCATGTATTGCGTATGCCTTCTCGTCGACTACCTTTCCGTGCTCACTTTGCACATGCCGGGCAAGGCTGAAAGAAACCGTGAGGCATTCAGACCGTGAAATGAGGTATTGGCATGAAGAAGCTGACTTCAGCTTTGGCTTTGGTTGGTACAGCTCACCTTCCAGATCGGTGTCCAAGGGATGAGGGATGTCTTTGGTTGGAGACGCTGAGAGGTATGACCCAGAATAGAAGTCAGTGGCGCGAATGCTGTATGGTTTGCCTTTCGAAATCCCCTGCCCCGCAAAAAAGTCAACAAACAACAAAAAATATCAAAAAGTGTACGATGAAACACAAATTTTATCCTATGTACTATTTTCCCGTGTTTGACAGCTTCACCCTCGTTCTACTTTGCTCTGTTTTCCAATCCAACTGCTCCCTATTATTATTCTTGTTTTGGCGTTGGCACCATGCTTGTCTACAAGCCGGTGCTGAATATACTACCTTTATAATGGTCGTGAGAATTTAAACTGAACCGTAACATGGTTCTATTTGCCTCATCTATTACGAGCGCGTATGCCCGGTTTCTATGCCCCACTGTAGATTTTGTCTTCATATTTGTTCTTAGATAAGTCTGACGAGAATGCAAATATCATGTCACTTCTACTGACGGAGCGTTCACCTCAGTTCCGACCATATTGATTGCTCTGTCAGTCATCATTCGAATTCGAATGCAGTTTTTCGTTTTTTTGAAATTTATCGGTCATGTCACTGTGTCTTAGTGATTCACCTCGTTTCACGATGATTGTACATTCCTCTGTTTTAAGCTGATAAAATAACAACAATTTGCATAACTTTTTAATTCCTGAAGTCATTACTCATCTTCTGAAAGTGTAATGTGTTCTGTAAAACGAAGCGGTTTTATCGAACCAATACTGGTGATTCCAGGCTCGGGCATCAAGAACCTTTCATTCAGCAGAACTGTGATGAGAGTTGGCGATCCGTTGAAGCACATCTTTAATGAAGTGGTTGATACTCCTTTAGCAGAGGTCAGTGAAGTTCGCCTCACTGTTTTACGCCATACAGTGATGATGACGACGCTATCTCGAATCCCAATAGGAGGAATAATATTCCGATGACAGATATCTCTGCTATTGCTTCTATGACGGCTTTTTCGAACACGTTTTTAGATCTGTTTTGCGGCAAACAGCCTCAGTTTAAGCTCCCGGATATTGGGTTTAGTGTATTTTTTTTCGCGATTTGTACGAACACCTTATAGTTTCTGCATAGTCCACTGTTCAGCATATGATAATAAATTTAGCGAGACCTTTCACCGCATTTTCTTTTTCCATTCCACATGCATGCGTTCATATGTGTGTACTGTATGAAACTGAATTTTCACAGGGAATAAGTTGATTGCTTGCTCATTCACTCACTCGTTCATTCCCACCCCTACCCCACTCTCTGATTACCGGCATTCGTTACAGGTTCTGTTTCCTCTATTGCGAAATGTGCACGAAATGTTTGCCAATGCCCCGGTGGAACGTGAAGGTCGATCGAATAGCTTACTGGTTCATCACAGTCGAGACACAGCTGCAAAACAGTGGGCTGAAACAGTGGTTCTCACCTTGTCCGGAGTGTCTCATTTGGTCATATCCAAACAGGATCAGTTACTTGCACTGGGTAAGTTTAATCGCCCCTCACACCAGTTCCCCTCGTTCCCCCCCCCNCCCACCAGCTTCATGATCCTCTTGTCTGTCGTTAACCTGTAGTGTTTAAACTTATGCGTAGTTTTCCAGCTTCACGTCACCGCCCGACATACAGTGCGGAATGTGGGACATCAATCCCCTCAGTGTGCTGATATCTACCGGCATACGACCGGTGTGCAGATTGCTCCCCGCAGTTTCCGGACCGAAGCGATTCGAATTGGCCATTCGGAATAAATCGGGCCGCAATCCGGCGCTCCCAACGGGGTTTTATCAGATAGGCCGTTTTAGTTGTTGAATTCGTTCAAATCTGTTTGAATGGAAATTGATAATAGAAAATTTCCTACGAGAATTCACATGTTTCGCCCTGACATAAAACTCCGATGGTGTAACGAGAAATTTGATTTTCCGTTCCCGTAGGTAACATTACGGGCATTTCATGTACGTAGGCATGCCCATAGCCTACTCAGAAGTACGCTGTTCGCACGCACTGAACAAGGCTGGCACTAGTTCATGCTTCACTCACCCAAAGGTCTCTGTTAATTCTCCTTCATTTTTATAGCATAGTATGAGCCTGTTTCACTCGAGCAATTCGGTTTCTTGTCTGCACGGTCCATGTGCAAAAGCTCACTGAATGAACTATGTGTTATGTGACAACAGCTGAATCCGATATTCAGTCGACTGTCGGAACTGTGTATACAGATCACAGATGGTAAAAGCAGAACTAGATATTGCCAAAAACCAAACTAGACATATGGTTTCCCTATGGTCGAAGGTTATGCATCATATGGGGTTAGATGATGTACCGTAGTTCAATCGCTATTGATGATCAGTAGATATCGAGACAAATAACTATTTTGAACCATTGTTTTTTTTCACAAACGGTAGACTGGCAGTGACACCGTGAAAGGGTTGTTGACAACCAATCGTCTATAAATGTTACTGAAGAGAAACATCAGTGGTTTATTTCAGTACAGTCAAAATAGCATAAACATACTGTAGGATGATTGCTTTGGATTTTAAACGTAATGATGATATCTAAACCGCTTCGGTTCAAAATCATAAAGATATAGCTCCGGATTCCAACTTTCTCACCTATGTCTGAGTCGTTCCATTCGCTTTTCTTACTTCCCTGTTCTTTTTTCCTGTTGTAGCCGAATTCTCTAAGGTTTGGAATACTCTACTAGAACAAGTCCAACAGCATGCACTCACACCTAGCGCGGAAATTTCCACGACAGCCCTTACCTCGTTGCAGACGCTGTTGGAACTCAAACCCACCGATCTCCAGATGAACCGAATGCTCTGGTCTGCCGCATGGAACACCTGGTTGCAAATTGGGACCGGTGCAGTCCACTTCCAATCTTTTTCTCAATTAGAGTCAACTCCTGTCAAATCGAAACTGTCTGCGTCTGAGACTGAGTCGAAAGCCCAATCGATGGAGCAAAATGTCACGCAGACTTCAGAATCATCTGTAAGTGGATTCTAAGCTGATGCTGATGCTGAAAGTCACAATGTGTCGCTCAATGTCCCTTATCAATGGTCTTCCCGAGTCACTCAGTGTACATAGCATTCTAAGATGAAAACGGTCATTGAGATTGAAGAAATCAGTGGTGCGCGACTGAAACAGAATGGCATGTGTATTTAGGACCGTCTACATGGATTCTGAGAAAACATTTTTCCTGTGTGCTGCTCACACCCTATAAATTTCGTGCAATGGGCGCTTTTTCTTTCGGTCCTCCCCTCTGTAAGTATGCATATGAGGCTTTTTGGTTTTCATAGATACAAACTTTTGGGATCACATGGGAAAATCGCCTAGGAATTTGATCCAGAACAAATTATTCATCCATTTTCCTCTATCGGTCAATTTGTCAATTCATAAGGAAAATAAAGTGTAAGATTTGTCGGAAACTTTTTCTTTGTGCAGTGGGTGAAAAGATAAAACGTGCCACTGATGACCCTTGGAACCATTGTAGGATTCCTAACAAGATGGTCCAGAGGTCAAGGTCACTAACTGATCGCTCACCTCGGATACCATGTGTTCGAACCCCATCACCTAACTTCCCCCTGTTTGTATCACAGACAGCCGTTTCCCACTTCCTGAAAATTCGTCATACCATTATATAGCCGATAAAGAAGATAAAAGAAATTAACTTAAAATAGTGTTCAGTATATGTTCATATTTTCACAAGGAACTGCACCACATTTATTTTGTATCCTATTACTCAAACAATTCAAGAAACTAGTGTCTTTTCCCTAGCAGAATTTAAGCATTTTATTTTGTTCATTGATTAAACTAATTCCTCTATGGTTCTCACAGGAGGACCTGTCGCCTTTCTTGTAAATCGGTATGATGACCGATTCACACCATTCAGCTGGAACCTCTTCCCTCTCCCACACTGAGCCCAGGAGTTTTGTTAACTCCAAAAACAATTCTAAACCTCAATTCTTAAGATCCGATGGAGACAGCCCGTCGGGGCGTAAGCCTTATGCCGTTTGAGAAAACTTATTTCTCGGGAAACCTCCATTTCAGATAGAGGACTGGCATCGACCGGCAGAATTTGCGCAGTCGCGGTGCATGGTGATAGTTCAGATGGGGGGCCAGTTGAACTGAGCCTTGAAGTGTTCAGCCCATCGATCAAGACGGCGTTGCTGATCGTGAATTAGTGTGCTATCTGATTCCTTTATTACCTCACTTAGACGTTATTTTGCTAGGACCCGTATTCCTAATAAAACAGAAAAGGGTCTGACGTTATTTTTATTGATATTTACATGGCTTCCTTGATTTGTTTCCAGTGTTTATTGAGTCCTTCGGCTGGTGTTTGAACTGACAGGCGATCGGAGGGTTCCGCTTTGTAGGCTGATTTGCAACAAACGCTAACGTTTTATCGTAGAAATCCGTTTCAGATGACTTTTCTACGAGTGTTTGCCAAGTGTAAAGATAATTTGGCTGGTAGCATTGCGTGGTCTGTATCCACAGCTTTTATCTGCATTTGAAAACATGCCACGTGCTCGAGGAAAACAGTTGCTGAGTTGGTTCAGTGTATATGAGCACCCTCTTTTCTCAGTGTTTGCATCTCGTCATTGTGAATAAAGAAAAAAAAACAAGTGGCTTGTGTAATTTTCACCGCCAATCACCAATATCATGTCGGTGTTTTCTCACCCAATTGAAGAAAAGCCCACGTCCGGGGCTGTAACCGAGTCGGCGAACCACGTACAATTCACCCAGAGGACTTGGCTAAACGCCCAAACCAACCAAGAAGAGTCGTACGAACCACACTCCTGGACGAGGTAGTGGTCATCGGCTCGATTGAGCACTTCTGACGACTGACCTCATCTGAAGGGCGTATGATCCGGGGAACTAGACACCAGCCTCCAGTGGATTGCGGTTTTCACACAGTTGCGCTGCTTTTTGAGTCAGGCTTTGTCTGGTCGAAGGCTCCGATCGTGGATATCTAAGAAAATTCATCTGCTGTGGTCTGGGCAACCTGGAAGTACTCCGTCCACAAACAGATCAAGGAACTTTATCTTTTTTATAAAGATTATGGTACTAGGATTTGTTTGGCACGCACTCTGGGTCTAGATCTGTGGGAAATACACACAAATACAATGGGCAGTTTGTTACGCAAAGTGAAATCTTCGCTTGGAAAGGGGAAATGAGCACAACTCAGTCCCTCATTTGTGATTGTTGGACAATCACAGGAAAATTATGCTCACAAACAGCCAGGATCTACTCGCTAATTCGCTTACACTTTTCGCTATGTCGAATTTCTTTCTTGCGATCCGGGTATGATTATCGATTTTTGGGGATTGTGATATTCCTTCTACGCTGGCCAAAGCAAAATCAAATTTGTGTGTCATGCACCAGCTACACCGTGTTGATGTTGCTCTCATTGGCCTCAACCCCACCCCGTCAATACAAACTATTGCAATACACCAAAAAGGTTTTCATTCAGTTACTGTTTTCCGGGGAGAGATAGTTTTGTTCCCGATACACATCCATCAATGCATCTATTTGCCCATCAACCAAGTTTTGATGTGTAAGCGGTAAATTTTGAGCTATCTAGGCTGAGTAGCACACTTGTTCAACAATGTTGGTTTCCAGTTATCAATAATTTTCATAATCATTTTTTAACAGAATTTGAGTACGAAAAACGACTTGTTTAGTAATTCACTGGCAATTAGGGCGTACTCTTTCATTGGAGCAATCTACAAGCGGATAACTGTGAGAGAATACTACGATCAGAAGAAACCATCTACCTCTGACCGATTGAAGTGTAAGAAGCTCGGGTTGCTTACATTCATCACTACAACAGATTCTGCTAGCGTTTCGTGTGATCACCGATCTGTACTGAAAAGGTCAGTGAAAATACCCCTAATCCGATTAACACATCAGGTTTAAATGAAAATAAAAGAAGAAAGTAGAAATATTCGTATATGTGTGCTCAAAATGTATTACTAATACTCAGTATTTCCACGTTCTATTGCATTTACCTCTTTGTTCTGTCATACTTCGAATCAGTCGATTTCTGAACTCGATGAGAATCTCACGCCACGCTCCGATCAACACACTCCCCCGAACTGTCAGTAAATATTTCACCTTACTCAAAATCATGTGATCCAAAGAACTTAGTACGGGTTTGTTTCCGATGAGTAAGTTGACCACGATAGGATTCGCACATGTAAAGCAGTCTGTTGTGAATTCACTGAAATAGTTTTGCCGGATAGGAACGGCTGGAAAGTTTTGTAGTAGTTATACCATTTTTCAGTTGCAGATTTGATTGTCCACAAATGCTTCTGCAGAATAGGACAATAATCTTTGTCACTACCACTTTGTTGCGGCGTGATAAGGTTGCTTTTTCTGTTCATACGTGTAAGGGCCATTCGTAAAATTAGAATATGCGCGCATCGCTCCGATGATTTTTGTCTATGCGTTCGCGAAGCTTCAATTCGTCCATGTCGATTCCCCATGGTGACCCATGATTCCTCTACTCGTCTGGTACCAGTACAATATGAGCATCGCCTTAAGGGTAACCACATTGCCAAACTTTCATGCAGTCAGGGGAGACGCGTACTGAAATATCTATCATTATCTCTTGTTCGTGGACTATTTCTTTTACATGTTATTTACAAAGTGCTGTGGTCACAATGTGGAGTGAAGCACTCGTAATGTTCACAACTCGATTGGAATTATACTAAGACTAGGTGGAGCAATTTCAGCGAGAAGTGGAAATGCCAATTAGTAGTGTCGTGAGATACTAATCACTTGTGAGTAGTAGGTAACATAGTTGATGATTACTTTCAACGACCAAAAATCAACAAGATCACTGAAGGCAATTTGCCGGGTCTCGAAGACGAACTATCGATTTCTGCATTCCCTTCCCGTCGCGTGACCAGGAACTGCGATGGAATGTTTCTGATTAGGTTTTTGTGTTATGTATGCCAGATTGGTGATGCCCCATCTGAAATCCTCAATGAACAGTTATCTTCGACCGGCACAGTTTTCTGGAATTATCACAGCAGTAGTAGTAGTAGTAGGAAGCTGGTTCCTGTTAACCATGCATTTGTTTAAATTCTTGCATTTTAATTTTTGTAATGTGTGTGTTAGAAGGTTAGGCGTGTTTGGTGGTGCACCTTTTTGGCGTGAATTGAACGCATATGTCGGACGCGGTTCGATTGACAGCAACGTTGACATGCAAATCTATCTGATCGTCCAGAGCTATCCAAAGTTGCAAAGCCCAAATGGAATCTATCCAGAAAACCCAATAATGTGTGGTCATTGCAGAACAATAAAATATTTGAATTACAAAAGATGTTCGTATTTAGTGAGTCCAACTATACTAGCAATGACAGCACTCGTTTTGTGTGGCATACTGTCGTCCAGATTTCACCCCTGAGAAGTTTGTTTCCAATATTCCTATGCCACTATCCCATGATCCTCTGCGCTCCACTTTCCCTTCTCGGTACCACTGAACACGGACAACGCTGATAGCACCCCGCTGCACCATTCCTACCCACCGCCCCATTCATGACCCTGATGTTTGATCTGTTCATCCCGCTGTTCTCACGCTGTACTGAGGCTTCGACGACGACAACAACAACAACTCCGACCACGCCTACAATTTCCAGTGTGGAGTGGACTCGTCTGACGGAGATATTCCGTCTGGGTTTGCTCGCGCCGATCTATGTGGCTTATTTGTTTCCCCAATCCAGTGTCACATTACTCCCCGTGGTTGATGACGGCACTTTGTCACCGCTGCAGGAGTCCGTGCTACGGGATTTGAATTTTCTCCTACAAGTAAGAATAGCCACGGGACTGGATGCCACCTAAAGGCAGATTAGTGACATCCATTCACGAAATTGCTTTTCTGATTGCCTCCATAAACGTTTCTCCTGAAAAGTTGATTGCTCAATCAAGTAATGCACCCGCTCATACCCCACTCGAGTTGGATTCTTTCCGAAAAAATAGGTGATTGCTCAATCATTTATTCATAAATATACTTCCAGTGTCGGCGAGTATTTCAGAATATAATGCATACTAATACCGCTTAACAGTCTCAACATGCGTGCTAATGTATTTTCTATGTTCAAAACAGAAAGGAATAAACTTCCGTTCAGTCTCATTTTATACCAAGCAAGATTTATATGACCGCGGCTCCCCTCCTGAAAGTTTATAGTGCATGTATATAAGCAGTAAACAGAAGGGGAAAAACATTTATTAATCATAAAGTAAGAAAAAAAAACGGCCACCAAGGAGTATAAACGAATTATTGATTCACGTGTATTTTATTTTGTGCGCCGTGTGTGTGTGGCCGTGGATACTGTAAAGGCTTGTTTTGGTTATCCGATGACTGACCTCAATTTTGCGAAATGTTTGTTTTTCCCACAGAAAAATAAACCTAAATACCTCATCATGGCTATCTACTATCTATGAATCGTCCTTGGATTGTTTCTTGAGAACGTGCATCTGAAAAAGCAGGCGTTCGATCTTCTTAAGATCATATATCATCAATCTTCTCTCTGATGACTGGGGGTAGGGGTGGGACTTGACCTGGAAAATTCTAATTGATACACTCATTTGTTGCGTGTGATGCGCATCAACTACTACTACGACTACTACTATTACATCGCATGACCCAATCCCACCACAACTTCGTCCCTCACGCAACTGATAAACAGATGTGTTACTCCTTCGCACGAATTTAAGTGTGCCAGTCCCCTCGGTTACCAACACTTAGGCGAAACTACCATGTCACTGTTCATAGTGTGAGAGGTTTTAGTTGCTGCCCCCCCTGCACTGGCCGTTTCTTGTGTGTGTGTGTATAAATTCAGACATGTTACTTTCACTTTTCCTAATTTGTATTTTGTTTTTATCCGTGTTAAATTCTCCGTGTGAGTGAGCGGGAGAAGGACAAGCAAGTTCTCAGCTTTGAAATCAACAAATCTCGCCTTTCCTCTTCACATTGTTGTTGACTGTTGTTACCGCCACTTTCGTGCAGTTCAGTGGTCTAGATGAAAAACGAGAGCAAGCGAGAAATAAACCCGGCTCACTTTGGCCTCATTCTTAGTCGGTCTGTTTATCGTTTCCTCCTCGTTCGATCCGTGTGTGTGAGATAGAGAGCTTCAGTTATAGCCAGTTCATCATTCCTTTGTCGAATCCACAGTAAACCTGTGGCACAGACCATCATGCTCCGCCTCGCCTCGCTCGCGGCCGCATTCCTNCGCATTCCTCCAAGCAGCGAAGCAGAGCAACGTGGAACGGTATCTGTTGGTGGCCTGTTACTAAATCGGCCATTTGTTTTCTACGGGCGATTAATGGTGCACCGAGTTAGGGCGGGCGATCAAGCAAAACATATGCTTGATACGAGTTTTCCAATCACACAATACTTTCCTCTCACTTGTTTCTTTGTGTGCGCGCGCTCCCAGAATAACAAGCGGATTGTGCAGTGTAATGAGAGCATAAAACTGATTCCAATGTGATGCGTTTCAGTTGGCATGATTGAACGAATCTGATCGCGTTTACCGGGCCAACGTGTAACCTGTTAGGATGTTCATCATATTGGAAATGTTTATATATATATATATATATATATATATATATATATATATATATATATATNATATATGTATACTCTTACGCTCCTTCGTCCAGACTGTACCAAACCCATCACCATTCAATAATATTTATAAAATACAAGAAGTAGATTTATGACTCGTTGACGGGCGGAATACCGCCACATTGCCCAAGCCGAAACAGGTGAATTCTCTTGCAGGATTCACAACCAGAACGGTTAGCTTGTCAAACCCTGACCCGCAAGGTAGTAGGGCATCTAATGCTTGTTGTTTTTCAGGAATGGACAAACCAATTACAGCTAGTCTGAGTTTTTGAAAAAAGTGATACCTCTTCAATGCAGTACCTCCAGAATTTCGCTTCAAAAACGATGCAGTTGATGTACATAAATTTGATAATCGATCAGTCTCTAGTCGGTACCCAACTCATTATTATCCTTGTGACTCTACTCTATAGGAATTCTCTATGTTCTCTTCAGCTCCGCTCGCAACATTCCAGCCTACCTTCTGCTAGTTTATCCGAATGGGCAACCGAAAGACAGCAACCAAAACCGCCGCATTATGGGGCATGGTTAATGGTTTTAAAAACTGAACTGAACAGCACCGTACTTGCATAAAATAAGTTGGCACTGCCTCGTCCGGTCTTCTCAGCGTTTGAATCTTATCGAGTATTTTATCATTGGGTTTTGTACTGGTTCGAAGGCTCTCACATCGATCGCCTTGTGTATACTTCCCGCTCCTTACAGATACTGACTCTTGTCCTGTTTGTCACCTGGTTTCACTCATCCTTTTTGCTTCGGTATTTTACCCGTTTGCGACCGTATGATGCGTTGCTAGGTCGCACAGCGTGCATGGTTTTGTTCCACTCGTATTCCTTTTGTCATGAACACATGGGGAAGTTATATAAGTTGCGAAAGTTTACAATCCCATTAAGCCCAAGAGATGTTTGACCGCCAAACTAATTGTCCAAGGTATATAATTGCATTCTCTCCTACTCTTTCATCAATGATAGGTCACCAAGCAGGGATATTGACGAACAGAGTAACCTAAGCCCTAAGGCTGTGAGTGGCAAATCACATAAGGCCGCCTTACGATACCCATGGTATTGAACCAAATCACTACGAGTCTATCTTCCTATCTACCATCACCACCACGACCACTTTGTTTTTCAGCATCCATTCGATCCTCCTCGAGGTGAGGGTGTGTTGCTCTATCATCATAAGAGCTTGCAATGCGAGCAAATTGAATGCCCTTTCGCCGCCTCTGACACATTATGATATAAATTAAAGCTAACGCAACAGGATAGCGGGCTGATCGGTGTGGTTTATCGCTCTCCCTCGTCATCAGATTTATCAAATGAAACTTTATTGGGAACAATGTCCTTCTTCTTGCCATTGAAATTCACCCGCGTTCTGATAATGGGTGACTTCAACTGTCCCAAACTGACCAACGTGACTACATCGTGTAC